GGGAATGAGCCCTTCCCCGCCACTTAGTCTAAGAACTGGGGAAAAGGCGCGGCATTCCAGAGCAAAGTTGAGGGACCTCTTGCCCCCGGGAAGTCGAGAGGCAGAGGCTGGGCCAGCAGAAACATCGTGCTCCCTACATGGAGGCTGGTGTCAAACAATTGTGTGGGTGGCAGGGAACCGTTCCTGGAGGTCTGGGCCTGGCTCTGGGAGGTGGGGGGCTGCCGGCAAGTGCCAGGCTGGGACACCCTGCCAGGGCCCTCTCTCTCCCCGCAGTCCATCTCGGGTTTCGCGCACAGCTGCTTCCAGTATGCCATCCAGAAGAAGTGGCCGCTGTACATGAGCACCAAGAACACCATTCTGAAAGCCTACGATGGGCGCTTCAAGGACATATTCCAGGAGATCTTTGACAAGTAAAGCCTCATCCGTCCGCTCCATGGCTTTTATTCCCTTTCCCCCATGTTGTCCCCATCCTACCCTGGGGAGGTCGCCATTAGAGTGCTTTTGGCTCAGCGTCGAGGCTCGGGGAGGGGTCCCCAACCTGTGTGCCTTCTGCCCTCTCCCCATAACAGACCTTTCTACTCTCCCAGGCATTATAAGACCGACTTCGACAAGAATAAGATCTGGTATGAGCACCGGCTCATTGACGACATGGTGGCTCAGGTCCTCAAGTCTTCCGGCGGCTTTGTGTGGGCCTGCAAGAACTATGATGGAGATGTGCAGTCCGACATCCTGGCCCAGGGTACGCAGGGAGCATGCTGCTCCCCGTGGGGGTGGGCTGCTGCTCTTCTCTAGCTGGAGGGGATTTTTAGACCCTTTGGGTAGAAAACTGGAATGGAGCAGCAGGACTCATTGCAGGATTCTCTGTGGACAGCAGGGGGAGCGCCCTGGCATCTGAGTGAGAGGCTCACAAATTAGGTTTGGACTGGTGTATTACTGAGGCTGCTTTTAGAGAGGACGGCACAGGAATTCCAGGGCCAGGTTTCAGCCCTGAGTATAAGTAAGACTATTAGCAAAGAACAGCGAGAAATGGGCCAATTGTGTAGGGAACAAGAGCCGGAAAGGTGGCAGCGTGGGAGTCAGGTGGGACACAGGGAGTGAAAGAGAAACCTAAGCTTACCAGGCAGGGCAGCTCCTGGCAAGGGGGAGAGGGAAGCCTGGGTCAGTTTCTGGTGAAAAGTAGAGTCTTGTTACTTTGTGTAAACCTTTGGCTTTACTTTGAAAAGTCCAGTGGGGATCCCTTCACCTGAATAACTGCCATCTAGGATGGAAGGCTGAAAAGCCATAGCAGATGAGGGAAAGGCACGAAATGTAACCTCAAGTGTCTAAGGAATGGGTGTGAGGGTGCAGGTACAATGGAGAAGGGCTTGCTCACTGCCAAAATCCTTAGAATTCGTAGACGAAGCATTTTCCTGTAGATGTTGTTTTCTTTCTTCAATCCTTATTTTGATGCCATGGGGGTGCCTTTGGAGCCCTGGAGTCCTTAACAACAGCAGAGTTTGCTTGAGTTGACACGTGGATTTGGGAACACTTGGAAATACATCAAAAAGCTTGAGAGTGGCCTGAGAGAGCAGCTGCAACAGTGATGGTGGGGAAATAGCTGGCAACAGCTTTACTGTTTGCTTGAATGCATCTCCAGGTCCTGAGCCAGGCAGCAGGCTGTGGCGGCCACAGGACTCGGTGGGGTCTCGGGCCCCATGGGCCACAGGCTGTGGGGTGCCTGGAGGCGGTGATACAGAGGGATGCTGATGTGCTGTGCCCTGGAGACCCAGGGCAGGGTGGAGAGGCCTGGAATAGTCCCTGTCCTCCCAGTTGCCGTTGGGGGAGGCTGAGTAGAGCCATGAGCTGTGGCAGCTACAACAGTGGGTAGTAGAGGGCAGCGTGGCTCAGCTGGGGGCCCAGGAGAGGCAAGGCCCTGAGAAAGGCTTTCCAACCTCCAGGCTTTGGCTCCCTTGGCCTGATGACGTCCGTCCTGGTCTGCCCTGACGGGAAGACAATTGAGGCTGAGGCCGCTCATGGGACTGTCACCCGCCACTATCGGGAGCACCAGAAGGTGAGTGCAGGACATGGGGCCTCACAATGACCCTGTTCCCCGCCAGGGCCCAAAGCCCACTGACCTGAGGGCTGGAAGGACGAGCCTGACCAGCAAGTCCAGGGCGGGCAGCTGCATCTGGGCAGCCTCCGCGCTAGCTGGCTCGGCTCTTGATCCCCCTGCAACCCCTATCCCCAGGGCCGGCCCACCAGCACCAACCCCATCGCCAGCATCTTTGCCTGGACACGTGGCCTGGAGCACAGGGGGAAGCTGGATGGGAACCCGGACCTCATCAGGTGAGCACAGAGGGAGAGGCCACAGCTGCCGGGAAAGGCTCCGGGTTCTGGCCTGGCACAGAGGGGGTCTCATTCTGCCCCATCCCCCGCAGGTTTGCCCAGACATTGGAGAAGGTGTGTGTGGAGACCGTAGAGAGTGGATCCATGACCAAGGACCTGGCGGGCTGCATTCATGGCCTCAGCAAGTGCGTGGCCTGGGGTGGAGGCCAGACGGTGGGGCCAGGTGGGGTGAAGCCAGGGGTCCGGGGCTGCACAAGTCCGCAGCCCTGAGAGGTGGCTCAGGCCAGCTGCTGCAGACCAGACCTAGTGAGCTACTTCCCATCCCCGAGGCTGGCTGCTCAGAGCTCCTTCTGACCCTGCCCGCACCCTCACCCAGCTTCTCCCAGGAGAGCAGTCACCTGGAAAGAGACCCTACGGCTGCCTGTGGCATTGCTGTGGCCTCATGGCAGCGGGCTATCGGGGCCTCTAGCCTGCAGCCTGGGTGGCAGGAGATGGCTATTCCGACGCCCAAGCTCAGGCTGTTCCCTGGAAGGGCCTGGCTGACAGCATTGGCAAAGCCCGGAGCTGCCCCTGATGTGAGTGGTGCTTTCTCCGCAGCGTGAAGCTGAACGAACACTTCCTGAACACCACGGACTTCCTGGACACCATTAAGAGCAACCTGGACAGAGCCCTGGGCAGGCAGTAGGGAGGCGCTGCCGTGGCTGCAGTGGACGGGCCAGGCCGAGCCAGCGGGCCTCCTGAGCGTGGCGGAGGGTGAGCCTCACAGCCCCTCTCTGGAGGCCTTTTTAGGGGACGTTTTTATAAGCGAGATGTTTTTAAAGCATATGTGTGTTTCCCCTCATGTGATGTGAGGCAGGAGCAGCGTGTCTTACCTCAGCCAGTCGGTATGTTTTGCATACTGTAATTTATATTGCCCTTGGAACACATGGTGCCATATTTAGCTACTAAAAAGCTCTTCACAAAACTGTCTGCTGTGTTTGTCCCTGAGGGGAGGAGGCAGCGGGGGCCCTGAGGTTGAGGCCCTGCTAGAGGTGGGGGGTTCCCCTGGGTCAGACCGGAGCCCCGCAGGAAGGGGCTGCCACTGCGGGGAGGGACCAGGCAGCCCTGGGGACCTGCATTCATTCCACAGGGCCCCCACGGAGCTTTGGGACTCTCCGGGCACAGGCCTCTGGGTTCCCTGAAGTCCCTAGCACCATCCAGTTTGTGTCCAGTTCTCCATTCTGAGGGTGACTCAGTTCCTGATAGGTTGTCATTGATCTTTTTCTTCCTGGTTTTAATCTAAACATCTCCAGGCCACGTTCTTAGCCTTTTTCTAGGTACTAAAAACATGTACCCATACCCGCCTCACACTTCTCCTTCCCAAGGCTGCCTGGGTTTGCGGGGGCTTGGGTGCGTGTGGATGAGGGCCCCACATCATCCGGGCCAGCGGTTCCCAGGCTTGGGTTCACTTTCACCATGTAGTGGCAAAACTAGAGAAGCTTGGGAAAAACTGCTCTCAGCCAGGCACTGTGGCACACCCTGTAATCCCAGCACTTTGGGAGGCTGTGGGTGGATCACTTGAGGCCAGGAGTTCAAGACCAGCCTGGCCAACATGGTACAACCCCATCTCTACTTAAAATACAAAACTTAGCTGGGCATGGTGACACGCACCTGTAGTCCTAGCTATTTGGGAGGCCGCGGCAGGAAAATGGCTTGAACCTGGGAGGTGGAGGTTGCAGTGAACCAAGATCATGCTATTGCACTCCACCCTGGGTGACAGAGCAAGACTCTGTCTCAAAAAAAAAAAAATTGCTCTATGCACGTTCTTTAGCCCCATGTAAAAAGGAAGAATAGAAAGTTGCTCTAAAGCTACCTATAATCAAATAACTGTCCTCTGCACAGTGATTAGCTTCTATTTGTTGGTGTTAAAATGTCCTGGAGAAGAGTTGTGTAATCTTTATAAAGTCCTGGCCAGGTGTAGTGGCTCATGTCTACAGTCCTAGGCCAAGGTGGGAAGATCACTTGAGCCCAGGAGTTTGAGGCTGTAGTGAGCTATGATGGCACCACTGCACTCCAGCCTGAGCAACAGAGTGAAACCCATCTCTCAAAGAAAACCCCATCTTACAAAGTCCCTTTCCAAAGTACTGGGGGGACCCCCATGGCTCCCGAAACCTGACTATTGCTGTAGACTCAGTGGCTTTGGAAGGGCTCTCGCCCTCCACCCACACTGGTGCCTCTGCTTCTTCTTCCTGAGTAATGCCGTGAAATTGCAGGGCTGAGAAGAAAAGCGGACTGCTGGCTCCCGCAGGCCCAGCCCCTGGGAGGTAGCTCAAGGCTTCCTGCCTCTTCTTGCCTGTCACAGCACAGGGCTGGCAGCCTTGCAGAATGCAGCCTCTGAAGCCTGGGCTGGCATTGGGAGCTGGCTTCTTTCCTGGAGCCCTGTGGGTGGGTGGGGAGGGGAAGAAGCTTTTCTCTGCAAGGGGTGGGAATGCAGGGCCTTGGCCCACACGACTCTCTTGGGCCCAGAGCAGCTGGTTGTAGGTGCCTGGCCCTGTGGGTGGCCATTCCAGGGCAGAGGATGGTCTCAGCTTCCCCTGGGCCCGGGGAGTGCAGCCCTGCTGTGTGGGGCTGGGAGTTCCTGCCGGGGGTGAGGGCCAGGTCCCCAAGAGCTGGGGAAAGACGCATTTGCAGTCACCTCACTAAAGAATATTCATTTATTTATAATTATTGCTAAGTAAACTTCTTTTTTAAACAGGAACATAAAAACACAGTAGGGCTTTGCACAAGTGGAATCTCTAAACAGTTGTTTGTATACATGTCAAAATAAGTTAGAATGGAATTTGTCCAGGGGTTTCCAAGTCACCCGAGAGGCTGTGCACCTCTTTTGAGAAGGTCAGGGAGGGGTGCGGACAGGAGCCTTGCGGAGACCACCCCCCAGCTCAAACTGTGAGTTGTGCTGTTTCCTCCTCCCAGCTTTGCCCAGGTCCAAGGCACAGGGCAGGGGGCGTTCAAGTATCGAACCTCGCAGAGGGCCAGTGCGGATGGCGGGGTTGGGGAGGGAAAGGAGCGCCCCACCCCGGAGGCCAGACCTTCTCCCTTCAGTTTCCAAGCCCAAGGCCACTGTACTGGCGGGAGAAAGGAGGAGGAGGAGGTACGGGGTTCTTTTTGGTACCAGGGGAGAAAGACGTTGTGGGAAGAGGTAGTTGCAGGGGATGATGCCTTCTGCTCAGCAGGAGAAAATGTCTTGTACAGTGACGGGGTCACTGCCACCTGAGGGTCATCATGGCGGGCACCTGGGAGGCCGTGGGGCCTCGGGGTCTGGGAGCCACACTCGGGCCACCCTGTCCACCCCTCAGTCCTTATCACAGTCACCCTGAGGCCTGGCTTCGTCCTTCACTTGAGGATTCAGCCTTGCGGGTGGCTGCGCTGCAGATGGGTTTTGCCCACCCAGGCTGTTCCCCGTTCCGGGTTTCTGGGCTGAAGCTAGTGGCTTCATCTGTGCCTTTGGGGACGGCCCCTGCCAGCCCCGCCCCACTGAGTCCTCAGGAGGCACGTGGGTGGGGGTCCGGGTGCCCTAGAGTTCCTGAATGTGCTATTTCACCGCCCTGGGCCTGTTGCCTCTGGTTGCAGGGGCAGGCTGGCATGGAAACAGAGGGGAAGAGAGCAGGCGAGCAAGGGAGCGCACTGTTGGCTGAGCAGAGTCAGGGGCACAGGACGGAGGAGTCAGTGGCTGCAGGGGCCAGGCAGGGGTGGAGGGCTTCCCCGCGCTGCCTTCTCCTTCCTTACCCCAGCTGCTCAGGCTGCTGCCAACGGCTGCTCCTCCAGGGCCAGGGCAACCTGGGCCCCAGTCCTGCCTGGCCAGGCCACTCGGGGTGGGTGGGTAGGAAGCACGCACAGCACACGAGGAAGCTTACGCTTGGAAAAGAAAATGCATCTCCATCAGAAAAGGTCATAGGTGACACGGAGTTGAAAAGAAAAAAAGAATAAGTTACCTTCGAAAGACCCCTTTGCTCAAAAAACCCTTGTTTTCCCTTTGTGAGCTTCACTTTCCTTCTTAAATATGTTGCTCTTTCCGGGGAGCTCTGACTCGTGGCTATCCCCATCACAAGGTGGACCCAGGAATAAGAAATGACTGCAGTCCCTCCCCCACAGGTGGTCCTGGGCCTCCACGAGGACAGCCCTTCTTGGTCCCCTGTGGTGCCCTCACCCCGCTCTGCCCTGGCCCCTGCTCCTGGTTTTGATAGTGTGTGTGCCTGATGAGGGGCCTGTCCCAGCTTTGTCATTCCAGCTAGGGCCGAAGTGGATGACGTGTGTTGCAATCCACTTTAGGGACACCCACTTCCAGACAGGGATGTAGGACAGGGGTCTTCTGGGGGCTGGGCTCCCCCCAGCTGTCCTGCAGGCCGGGGCCGGGGCCAAGTGCACGCCTGGCTTGAGGCGTGCGAGGTAGAAGGCAGAGTGCCCTGCCTGGCGTCCCGTCGACAGGGGGAAGGGGGCCTGGACAAGGTGGGGGTGGGAAGTACTGACCAGAGCAGGGAACTCAGACATCCTTAGAGGCAGGAGTTGGCCGAGAAAAAGACATGGCTCGAGTGGTCTCTTCCTCCAGTGTCAGGACCCCTGAGGAGCTCTGCTGGGCCTGGAGAGACCCCGAGGGCCTGTGCCCTTGTGACCTGTCCCCAGTGGCCCCCCTTCTCCCACCGCGTCCCCGGGGAAGCAGGCTAGGGAGACCCCGATCTGGGCCTCGTGTGTTCTCCTCCCCTCGCTGGGATACCTGGGCCAGTGCTGGCTCACAGCCGGGCCAGTAGTATGTCTCCATTTGGTCTAAAGGTCCCTAGTGGTGCAAACGACTCGGGGAGGGGCTCAGAACAGTGGGGCAGTAGCTTGTTTCTCAGCTGCAGGAGTGCAGCCCGCAGCCCGTGGGTCTCACCCCCACGCCCGGCCCCCCGGCCCCCGTTGGGGGTGGCCCAGCTTGCGCTATAGCACATTGTAGTAGGCCATCTCCTTCATGGCCTGTTCGGTGAGGACGCTGGCCTCGGCGCCGCCGTCCACGCTCGTGTAGCTGTAGGCGTTCTCCTCGAAGTCCTCTATCTCCTGCTGGCCGTCTAGCTCAGAAGGGTCAGTGCCTGTCAGCTCCATCATGGGGTCTGCAAGAGAGGGGCACAGTCAGACCTCACGGGAGGAGCCAGTCACCCCCACGCAGGAAGTGGACGGCCTTGCTAAAGAGAGGGCTTCCCAGGCACAGCCTCCAGAGGCCTCAGGTGCCTCAGGGTCCTGTGGCTTCTGGCTGGGTCACCAGACCTAGGCCCCTAAGCTGAGTGTGGGGCCGTGGGTGCTATCGCTGAGGGCCCTCGAGGTGGAGCCTGTGGGTCTGGCTTAAAGCCTTCTTTGGGTCATTCCGCCATTGGCCCTTCAGAGTCCCTAAGTCCTGCTGACTCCTCCTCTGCAGTGTTTCTCGGCCATGGGAAAGCTGCCTGCCTGCATCATCTTTCCCACTCATTAGCGCCTGCTGCATGCCAGCCAATCACAGGCCTCGCCTCATCCAGCAATCACAACAATCCCGTTTAGCAGCTCAAAAGGCTGAGGTTCAGAGAGGTGAATCGACTTGCCAAAGGTCACCCAGCACATGCTGTTGTTCTTTTTTTTGAGGTGGAGTCTTGCTCTGTTGCCCAGGCCAGAGTACAGTGGTGCGTTCTTGGCTCATCACAACCTCTGCCTCCCAGGTTCAAGCAATTCTCCTGCCTCAGCCTCCCAAGTAGCTGGGACTACAGGCACATGCCATCATGCCCAGCTAATTTTTGTATTTTTATTAGAGATGGCATTTCACTATGCTGGCCAGGATGGTCTTGAACTCCTGACCTCATCATCTGCCCACCTCAGCCTCCCAAAGTGCTGGGATTACAGGCGTGAGCCACCATGCCCAGCCCATGCTGTTGTTCTAAGCCACTGTGCTGCTCTGCCTCAAACCACTGCAGGGCATGGCTCCCAACAGCAGTGCTTTTCTATCGAGTCTACCCATTGGTATCCCTGGGCCCCGGCACTCCCGGGACAAACACACACTCAGGGTTCACAAAGATATGCCCGGCAAAAACTCTTAAGAGGCCTCTTGGAATTTTATCAAATTGAAATCTCATTATAAAGATCTTACTGGTATAACAAAAGCCAGAAAAAAATAACTCCCCAGGGGAAGCCCAGGGTAGATCTGGGGGACCTGGGCGGCTGGCAGGGGCTGTGCCTGACCCCCAAGGTGCATTCTGGCCCTCTCCACCGAGATGTGATGTGTTTTGGGGGAAACGGCCCCCAAACTGGGGCAGCTCTGACTGGTCTAAGGCAGGCTTTCTCAACTCTGGCACTGAAGGGGGCAATGCTTGGCTGTGGGGCTGTCCTGTATCTTGTAGCATCACCCCAGTTGTGACAACCAAAAATGTCTCCAGACATGGCCAGATGTCACCTGGAGACAAACTCACAGTCAGCTGAGAACCACTGGTCTTAGGTAATCCCATCCCTTGCCAACAACAGGCATGTGACCCAGTCCTGGTGGGTGGGTCATGAGGAAATCCTGCTAGTAAGTCTTAGCACCTTCTTACTGGTGTCAGAGAGTGAAGGGGAGCAGGCTTCCCTGCTCACTCTTCCACTGTGAGAACAAGGAGCACACATCCTGATGGCCACTGGCAGCCATCTTGTGACCATGAGGATATTCACAGCTAATGCTGTGGACAGAGGAAGCCTCGCTCTGATTCACTGTTGGCAAGCTGAATCAGCCAGCTCTGAAGAGGGTCTAGACTTTAAGCCATTTCTTTCTTTCTTTTTTTGACAGGGTTTTGCTCTGTCGCCAAGGCTGGAGGGCAGTGGTGCAGTCACGGCTCACTGCAGCCTCAAACTCAAAGCGATCCTCCTGCCTCAGCCTCCTGAGTGACTGGGATTATAGGTGTGCACTACCACACCTGGCCTTGAGCCATTTCCTGATCTATTTCCTTATTGTTTGGGCCAGTCTGAATGGGCAGCTGTTACTTGTGCCTGTAGCATCTAACATGCCGTGAGTCTTCTGGATTTTATAAAACCAGGTCACCTGTCCCATATCTTATAGATTTGGGCTGTTTCTTCCTGCAATCCTAGTGTCACACCCTCATGTTATGCAGCTGGTTTTGAAAACAAGCTAAATAAAGCACGTTGCATACATTTCTACCTCTGGATCTCAGTACACTGTCCCCACTTTATCAAGTGTATTGTCCCGTCCCGTGGACCCCAGAGAATCATCCGTGACATTTTTTACAAGGACATTCATCTACCTCCCCAAATTACAGCCCCATAGTTACTAGATCATTCCATCTAGAGTGTATGCTGCCTTTTTTCTCATCAAGCCTGGGCTTCCCAGAACAAGGCTCTAGGCGGGAGGGGGACCTGGAGCCCAGCTGTTCCAGGCCCAGTGGCTTCATTCTGTCATCTGCTACAGTCAGGAAGAGCAAGTCTAAGCATCGCTAGCACTGAGCTCATCTAGAAACAGCTTGTGCCTTAACTGCCCATAGGAACAACGTATATGGGGACAGTCTTTTAAAAAACCTTGTTGGGGGAGTTTCTGGTAAAAATGGGAAAACCTGCTAAATAATTTTTCTTTTTGAGTTGAAGTCTTGCTCTTGTCACCCAGGCTGGAGTGCAGTGGCGTGATCTCGTGCTCACTGCAACCTCCGCATCCCGGGTTCTACTGATTCTTCTGCCTCAGCCTCCTGAGTAGCTGAGATTACAGGTGTATGGCCACTATGCCTGGATACTTTTTTGTATTTTAATAAAGATGGGGTTTCACCATATTGGCCAGGCTCGTCTCAAACTCCCAACCTCGGTGATCTGCCCACTGTGGCCTTCCAAAGTGTTGGGATTACAGGTGGGCGTGAGCCAGTATGCCTGGCCTAATAAATTCTAAAAGAGCTGTAACCCTGACAGTCTCTTGGTCCTAGTTATTTCCAAAGGGGCATGGTCTGCTCTGCTTCCTTCTGGGGGGTTTGGTTAGCAACAGGGCAGCTCCACTAGAAGAGCTGCACATGGAGTCACCCCACCGTACTGCAGATCACTTCCACTTGAACCTCAGGTCCAAACTCAGCATTGAAAACATTCCTCAGGTGACTCCCATCATGCAGCTGATGTGCCAGCCAGCCCTCTGGAGTCTGGATCAAAGCTTCTCCATGTGCGGTCCCTGAACCAGCAGCCCCTTGGCTAAGACCTGGGAACTTGTTGGAAAGGAGCTTCTCGGACCCCACCCCAGACCGACTGAATCAGAAGCTCCGGGGCTGGGGCTGAGGCCAGCACTTGGTGAGGCACAAGTCTGGTCCTTCACTGTGCAACAAATGGCCCTGAGATCTTTTTGAAGTGCAGAGTCTGACTCAGCAGGTGTGGGTGGAGCTGAGAGGCCAGCAGGATCCCAGGTGGGGCCACATTTCTCGCCCTCCTACCACATTGAGCAGCAAGGAGCTACCGAGAGCAGCTGGCGGGTTTTCAGTCTCACCTACTGGAAGCAACCTTAATAGACAACTGAAAAACAAAACAAAGCCACTGAGATACCTGTTTCTGCCAGAAAACCCAGCCCATTCACTGGTCAGCTGCTCCAAAACCAGAGTCAAGGCTACTGCAGCTGTCCCCAGTGCCTGACTGTGCTCCCAGTAAATAATCCACGTGGCAAGTCAGCTCACCTGGTTACTGCCAAGGCACGTTCCCAGCTGGTGTGACTCAGAGGCACACCAGAATCTCTCTCTTTTTTTTTTTTTCGACGATAGGGTCTTGCTTTGTCACCCAGGCTGGTGTACTGTGGTCCAATCACAGTTCACTGCAGCCTTGAACTCCTGGGCTCAAGTGATCTTCCTGCCTTAGACTCCCAAGTAGCTGAGACTGTAGGGTACACGCCACCACACCCAGCTAATTTTAAAATATTTTTGTAGAGACCGGGTCTCACCATGTTATCTGGTTTGGTCTCAAACTCCTGGCCTTAAGTGGTCCTCCAGCCTTGGCCTCCCAAAGTGCCAGGACTACAGGTGTGAGCCATCATGCCCAGTCAGAGCACCAGAAATGGCTCCAAACTGTTGAAGGAGCCTCCCTGTGGTGCTGCTGGCTCCCTCTTTCCTGTAGACTCTCCACAGCATATCCCTGACCCGCCGCCGACCATGAGGCCAGAGACGCTAACAGCTTTACTGTCGCCCAACAGCAATGCCTTTACTACTGACCACTGCTGGAGGGAAAGGCTACTGCTAACATTTGGGATGTTTTTTGACAGTCTCCAAAACTTCTACAAACTGCTGAGGCATAAGATCCTCTCCCAAAATCTCTCCCAGATCTTAATGTCAGACCCATCTGGCCCTTTCAGGAGTACGTAGGTTCTCGTCTGTGGCAGGCACTTGTGAAGAGTGTGACTGATTGATGTACACTTTTTGCCTTGGTTGCTGGGAAGCTCAGATCTCCCCTCTGCATGACCCTAGGGCCTTCCATGGTGAACTTGGAGTTGGAACCTCACCTGGTTCTCCCTTATCTTTCCACCTGCCATTTTTCCCCGTTTTAACTTTCTTTCCCATCCACTGATTTGAAATATCATCTCACGGTACCGAAATAAAGAGTCTATCACCTCTTGCTGAGTTGTCATCTTGCATGAGCTACCTAACGTCTCTGTTCTTCCGTTTCTGCATCTGTAAAATGAGGATAATAACAGAGCCAACCTCATTTCGAGGATCACATGAGTTAATAAAGGCCTGGCACACAGGTAGCACTTAATAAAGGTCAGTTATGACTTTTATTATATTGTTTACGTGAGCTCATTTAAGTCCTTTGAAGAAGACATATCCCATTGTTACTGTCATCATGGCCTTCCAGGGTCCCCCCCCTCCAGACCTGAGCCCACCCCACAGAGGTCTCAGCCTTGGCCAGCCTCCCCACTCCTCTAACCGGGCAGGAGGCTCCCGAGTGCACCATCCTGGTGTCATTCCTGCTCTGTCCACGGCGCGTGACCCACCCACCTTGACTGTCCAGGCCAATGTCCATGACGCCGTGCTTGACCTTCATGTGCCGGCTCAGGTTGCCCTTGAGGTTAAACTTGCTGGAGCAGTAGGGGCACTTGAAGGGCTTGCTGCCTGCGTGCAGGTGCATGTGGCCCAGCAGGTTGTACATGCGGTTGAAGGACTTCCCGCACACCTGCAACACATCCACCCGGTATCCTGAGCCTGGGGGCAGCCCGCTTTCCCTGGAGCCCCACCCACTCCCACCTCTAGGGCCGGACCAGACTCTTACTACTTTTCTTTTTGTTTTTTTCTTTTTTGAGACAGACTCTCACTCTGTCGCCCAGGCTGGAGTGCAGCGGCATGCTTTTGGCTCACTGCAACCTCTGCCTCCTGGCTTTAGGCGATTTGCCTCAGCCTCCCAAGCAGCTGAGACTACAGGCATTTGCCCCCATGCCCAGCTAATTTTTTTTTTTTTTGAGACAGAGTCTCACACTGTTGCCTGGGCTGGAATGCAGTGGTGAGATCTTGGCTCACTGCAACCTCTGCCTCCCAGGTTCACATGATTCTCCTGCCTCAGCCTCCAGAGTAGCTGGGATTACTGGCGCAGACCACCATGCCTGGCTAATTTTTGTATTTTTTGTAGAGATGGGGTTTCACCATGTTGGCCAGGCTGGTCTCAAACCCCTTACCTCAAATGGTCCACCCACCTCAGCCTCCCAAAATGCTGGGATTACAGGCGTGTGCCACCACGCTCAGCCCAGAATCCTGTTCTTTATGGACAGCACTCTCTTTATGCTTTTCTGAGACATGGCCATCCATTGCTGGTCACTGCTCCTGTGGATCTGCCCCCCTTTCTCTGAGCCTCAGAAACCCAGGGCTTGGATATCTAGCTGCACTAAGCCCCCAGGCTGGGGTCCTTTCCCTGTGGCTGTACCACGACCTCCACTCCCTCCCCAGCTCTCAGAAAAACCTAACTTTAGCACTTTCATGATCTGAATCCCCACCCACCCTCCCAGCCCCCAAAGCCCAGGCCAAGTTTCACCCAGCTGGGGCTCCTCTGGCCAGGCCAGTGCTCGATGGGTCACAGCTGCTGCACTGCTGCTGATTCCAAGCCACCTCTGGGGAGGTCCCACCCCGGGGCCTGACGGCCCAGTACCTTGCATTTGAATGGCTTCACGGGCGAGTGTACAATCATGTGGGTCTTGAGGGTCTGCTTCTGCACGAAGGTCTTGAAGCAGATGTGGCACTGGTAGGGCCGGACGCTGGTGTGGATCAGCATGTGCCGCTTCATGTTCGCCTGCAGGGTGAACTCCCGGCCACACACCTCGCACTTGAACTCCTTCACGCCCTGTGGGGTGGGGGTGATGGTCAGAGCCACACCGTGGGCACAGCCACTGGCAGGGACCCTTGGTGGGGAGGCAGGGAGGTGCATGCCATAGCATCACAAAGGCACAGTTTCTGGGAAATGTCTGCATTTGAGGGTATTCCAAAATAGGTAATGCCTGCTTAAAAAGCACCAAAGAATGTTGGGGCAGAGCCACTGACTCCAGGAAGCCTTTCGGCAACAGACAGCAATAGGCTGTGCCTTACTGTAATGATGCCTATCCCTGCTGTCTCCTGCCCCAGGGTGGGTGTGTGCATAAGGCCTGGACCAGTGCACTAATGCAAATGTGTGCACATTCATTCATTCAGCAACCACTTACCTGCTCCAAGCCAGCACCGCACTAGGCGGCAGGGGCCTGTGGTGAAGAAGACACAGCCTCCGCCTGCTGTCTGCAGATTGTTGCATCAGATCAAGGCCGTGCTATGTTTTTATCCACAGTGCTGTCTCTTGGTGGTCTTTTGGTTCACAGGCCATTTTGATAATCTGATTAAAGCTATGCACACCCCTCAAAAAATGGGACTTAGGTCTGTGTAGAATTTTGAAGGGTCTGTCTGAATCCCCGGGAGCCAGTCCCGCTGACCCCTTGACAGTGTTTTCCTGACTTCCCTGGTGGTCACAGTCACCTCTAGTTCTTGTCCAACATGGAGGCTTGCAGGCCCCTCCCTGAAGGATCTAATTTGTGGGGCCTGGGATGGACCCAGGAACTTTTATTCTCAACTGGGCCCCAGATGATTCTTATCATTGATAGACTCGGGCTGTTCACCCCCAGGAGACATGGATTCCAGGGGAAAACCCACTGGTTTGGACTATGAACATGCTTTTCTATGGTTTGGGGTCACTCCCAGAGCAGGACAGATTGCTGTATGCAAAGGGGTCCAATTTATGATCTGTGGAGGAACGTTAGGATAAAAGCTAGGAGCTAGGCCAGATGTGGTGGCTCACACCTGTAATCCCAGCATTTTGGGAGGCTGAGACGAGAAGATCATCTGAGGCCAGGAATTCAAGACCAGTGTGAACAACATAGTAAGACCCTGTCTCTAAAATTTAAAAAAGCCTGGGCGCGGTGGCTCACATCTGTAATCCCAGCACTTTGGGAGGCCAAGGCGGGCAGATTACGAAGTCAGGAGTTCGAGACCAGGCTGACCAACATGGTGAAACCCCATCTCTACTAAAAAATTACAAAAATTAGCTGGGTGTGATGGCATGTGCCTGTAATCCCAGCTACTCAGGAGGCTGAGGCAGGAGAATTGTTTGAACCCAGGAGGCAGAGGCTGCAGTGAGGTGAGATCACACCACTGCACTCCAACCTGGGCAACAGAGCAAGACTCTATCTCGGAGAAAAAAAAAAGTAAAAATTGATTTTTTCTTTTAAAGTTGGGAGCTGTTTTCTTTTTGATGAGTTATTAATTTAGTAGGAACCCAATGGGACAGACATGTGTCTGTGGCCACAGCTGCTGTCTTAACTGCTTCTCTGGTATAAAACTTTGTGTTAAAACTTACCAGTTCCCTTGTCTGTGTCTCTTAGCAGTAGGGGCTGTGTCTTGGGTTGCACACCCTCCTGACCATTGCAGCTGCGTATGACCACCAGGGGGCCCTGCCAGTCAGGAGTTTATTTTATAAGCATGTAATGTGCACGTTATACATATTCAGGCTGGTAATAGGGACGTTTTCAGTTTTAATAGCCTTTAGTTTTTGCTTTCAGCTCACAATATTAACACTCTATGGACTTGGGATATATATATTTTTTTGAGACAGAGTCTTGCTCTGTTGCCCAGGCTGAAGTGCAGTGGTAAGATCTTGGCTCACTGCAGCCTCTACCTCCCAGGTTCAAGCAACTCTGCCTCAACCTCCTGAGTAGCTGAGATTACAGGCACCTGCCACCACACCCGGCTAATTTTTGTATTTTTCGTAGAGACAGGGTTTCACCATATTGGCCAGGCTGGTCTTGAACTCCTGACTCAAGTGATCTGTCCTCCTCAGCCTCCCAAAGTGCTGAGATTACAGGCGTGAGCCACCACATCCAGCCCTGGACTTGGGATTTTTAAGTCCCCTAGTAGAGGAGAAAGATGGTAAACATATAGCATGTGTGCAGTCACCCTGCACAATCACTCCTTGCAGACATTAACAATCAATCACAGGGTTTTACTACCAAGCCTAGATTCAGTTTCAGAATCTTGTTTTTTTTTGGGGGAGACAGGGTCTCACTCTGTTGTCCAGGCTGGAGTGCAGGGGCACGATTATAGCTCATTGCAGGCTTGACCTCCTGGGCTCAAGGGATCCTCTTGCTTCAGCCTCATGTGTAGCTGGACCACAGGTGTGTGCCACCATGCCTGGCTAAATTTTTGGTTTTTTTTTTTTTTTTTTTTTTTTTTTTTTTGAGTTAGCCTTGCTCTGTCACTCTGGAGTTCAGTGGTGTGATCTCAGCTCAATGCAACCTCTGTCTCCGGGGTTCAAGCAATTCTTGTGCCTCGGCCTCCCTAGTAGCTGGGACTACAGGTGCATACCACCACACCCAGCTATTTTAAAAAAATATTTTTAGTAGAGACAAGCTTTCACCATGTTGGCCAGGCTGGTCTCAAACTCCTGGGCTCAAGTGATTGATTGGGATTACAAGTGTGAGCCATTGAGTCTGGCCCAGAATCCTTCTTTAAAAAAAAAAAAGTCTTGCTGTGTTGCCCAAGCTAGAGTGCAGTGGCTATTCACAGGAGCGATCATAGCCTCCAACTCCTGTTTTGGCAATCCTCCCACCTCAGCCTCCTGAGTGGCTGGGACTCCAGGTGTGCAGCTCCATTCCCGGCTAGAATCCTTGTTGCCATTACTTTTTTTGTTATTATTTTTTGAGATGGAGCCTTGCTCTGTCACCCAGGCTGTAGTGCAGTGGTGTGATCTTGCTCCCTGCAACCTCTGCCTCCTGGGTTCAGGCAATTCTCCTGCTTCAGCCTCCCGAATAACTGGGACTACAGGCTCCTGCCCCGATGCCCGGCTAATTCTTATATTTTTAGTACAAATGGGGTTTCACCATGTTGGTCAGCCTGGTCTCGAACTCCTGACCTTATGATCCACCTGCCTGAGCCTCCCAAAGTGCTCGGATTACAGGTGTGAGCCCCCACGCCCAGCCATTACATTTTAGGCAGCTACTACCAGTTGACTGGAGGCCCCTCTGCAATGAAACCTACAAATTGCCGGCTTCTCGGCCTGGCAGGATGTTACAGCTCCCCAACTCCCTATAGTGTCCACTGGGAAAGACAGGGTCACAGTTTAACCTGGAGTATCATTCAAAGACCACCGTCATGGGGAGAGGAAGCTCTATGCACATTCAGGTTGGAAGGGCAGAGTTGGTGGGATTTCGGTGGAAAGCATGGAGCAGCCGAGTACCGGAGTGGGACTGTAAGACCCGAGGGGCCTTACTCCACCTGCCCGGTTATGAGGGCCTCTCAGAGGTGATGCTGGCTGAAGGCAGGGAATGGAGGACAGGGGAGAACGTGTCAAGGCTGGGTCTAGGGACGCGGTAGATTAGAAAGTGCTGCTCAATTTTCTGCCCTCCCAAGCCACTATGCCTAGTTTAGCCATATTCTAGAATGACTTGTACTTTTCCATAACTAACATTTTCCCTTACCTCTTCTCCCCTTTGAAAATTAAATATATTTAGCCTGCTCCTAAAGGGAAGTCACAGGTTTGAATTCACTTTTGTCATGACAAGGAACAAAGGACACTCTCTGTACCTCTGCCCACTGAGTCAGGACGCCTCCCTGTTGCCTCCTGGCTTCCCTCTAGCCTCTGTCCTCCCATCAAGAAAACAGGGAGAGCAGGCCACTTTAGTGATTCTCAAACTGTTCCTTCGGTCACAGGGGTTCAAAAACAACGGTTTTTTGTTTTGTTTTTTTTCTTTGGTGCTGTGACTCGGGCAACAATATTTATACATTTTTTTGAGACAGGGTCTCAGTCTGGTTGCCCAGGCTGAAGTGCAGGGTTGTGATTTCAGCTCACTGCAACCTTGGCGTCTCAGGCTCAGGTGATCCTCCCTCCTCAGCCTCCCGAGTAGCTGAGATGAGAGGTGTGCACCACCGCACCCAGCTAACGTTTAAACTTTTATAGTGATGGGGCCTCATTATTTTGTCCAGGTTGGTCTCGAGCTCCTGGACTCAAGCAATCTGCCTGCCTCAGACTCCCAAAGTGCTGGGATTACAGGTGTGAGCCACCGTGTGTGGTCAAAAACTTTTTTTTTGTTTGTTTGTTTTTTGAGACGGAGTTTAGCTCTTTCGCCCAGGCTGGAGTGCAGTGGTGCGATCTCGGCTCACTACAACCTCTGCCTCCCAGTTTCAAGCGATTCTCCTGCCTCAGTCTCCCGAGTAGCTGGGATTACAGGCATGCGCCACCATGCCTGGCTGACTTTTGTATTTTTCGTAGAGATGGGGTTTCACCAAGTTGGCCAGTATGGTCTTGAACTCCTGGCCTTGTGATCTGGGATTATAGGCTTGAGCCATCTCGCCTGGCTCCCAAAAAACATGTTTTTGAATGCGTAAAGCTGTACTACTTAAAAAGCCAATTTCCATAAGATAGCATTTCTTTCTAATACTCATCAAAATAAGTAGTGATGATAAAACGAGGAGACCACCTAAATGGTCCCATATGGGACTCTGAAAATTACCAGATGAAAACGTGGCAAGGCAGCAGGCAGATCCCCGGCCCGGGAGTGGCCTTACCTTGTGGGTGAGAGAGTGCTGCTTGAGGTGGTGGATCTGGCTGAACTCCATGCCGCACTCAGTGCACACGAAGGGCCGCACGTTCTGGTGCTTGAGCATGTGGTTCTGCAGCTGGCTGCGGTAGTGGAAGGACTTGTCGCACTCGAGGCACTGGTAGAGGGTGGGGCCCTGGTGGGAGGCCAGGTGGCGCTTGAGCTGGGTCAGGGTGGAGAAGTCCAGGCCGCACTCGACGCAGACGTGGCAGCGGCCACTCTCGTGCTTCACTTCGTGGGCCTTGAGCTCGCTGGGGTAGGCGAAGCCACGGCCGCAGAAGTGGCAGCTGTAGGGCTTGACCTCCGAGTGCAGCAGCATGTGGCGCTTGAGGTGGCTGGTCTGCGTGAAGGCCTTGTGGCAGACCTGGCACTTGTGGGGCCGGGTGCCCTGGTGCGTGAGCAGGTGCGTCTGCAGGTGGCTGGGCTGCTTAAAGAGCTTGCTGCAGTGTGGGCACGAGTGGGGCTTGATGCCGTTGTGGCCCAGAATGTGCGTCACCAGGTTGTACTTGGACGTGTAGGACTTCTCACACATGCGGCACTGCCAGCGCTTCTGGCGGTCACCGGCCTCCACCAGGTAGGAGTCGTCGATCTGCACGTTGATGTCCAGCCGATCCAGCTGGGCCTTCTTGTGGCGTTCCACCGTCGAGCCCGCTGCATCGGCCTCGAACTCGCCGGCCTCCTGCCACACGAAGCCCTGTTCTGACTTGACGGGCTCTGGGGACTCCATGCTGGGGGCCTCGGGGTCGCTCAATGGGGCCAGGTGGGGTGGCTCGAACCCACATTCTGTGGGCAAGGCCTCTGTCCCAGGGAGCGCCATGCTGGGCTCGGGGAAGCCATCCCGGGCTGGGGCAGGGAAGTGAGGGTCGTAGGGGGCCACGTCCAGCTCCGGCCTCGGGGTTCGGGGCAGGTGCCGGAGTGTCCGGGGCTTGCGGCTAAAGGCGCTGAGGTCGATCATCTTGACAGCACTGCTCTGCACCAGGGCCTCACAGCCGCCACTGGCCGCCTCAGCAGGGGCTTCCTCTGGGCCTGCGTCCTTGTCGTCACCAGGCACAGAAACCTCGTACACCTCCTGCTCCTCCTCCTCCACCTTCTCAAACTTGACCTTGGGCACTAGCCGCACAGGGGGCCGCGTCTTCCGCCGGGTGTGCTTCTCAAAGGCTGCCTCCACCTCCAGCACCTCCTCCTCCGCCGGCTCCTCCAAGGCCCGCCCGTTGCAGGCCAGCTGGTAGATGTCAGGGCCTGGTGGCCCGGGCTCTCCCATGGGTGCCCCAGAAAGCTCAGGCCCCAAGTCTGGGTAGAAGGCCTCGGCGCTTATGGTAGCTCCAAAGAGCTCATTTTCGGAGACCAGGCCAAGCACGGCAGCCTGAGCCAAGGACAGCACCACCACGGCGTCCGTCTGTGTCCCTGAGTCCATGAAGCCCTCCATCCCGTGGCGGCTGGCTAGGAGGGCATCGCTGTGGGAGGAGAAACGAGTGTTAATATTGCTGACTCAGTGCCGCGCGGACAGACAGCAGGCACATTCAGCATGGACCAGGGCTTGGCGGTTTTTGGATGTGTCTGGCCTTGAAGTCTTCTCTACTCCTGACTTGGGAACAGGGCACACTTGTAATTACAGGGAGCCATGACTGATTCCCGCTGTGTATCTGACCAGCTCCTCCATCTCCCTGGGAGAACCTGGGTAAGCTCCGCCCCCTTGCTGACCTCAGTCTTCCCATCTGTACAACAGGGAGGTGGGATTTCCTCAGTGGTTTTCAAACTGTGTTCCACAGGTCCTTCAAGAATTCCTTAAAAAGTCTGGGTGCAGTGGCACTCTGGGAGGCTGAGGCAGGCAGATCACCTGAGTTTGGGAGTTCAAGACCAGCCTGGCCAACATGGTAAAGCCCCGTCTCTACTAAAAATACAAAATTAGCTGGGTGTGGTGGGTGCACTGCACGCCTGCAGTCCTAGCTATAGGGGACTGAGGCAGGAGAATCGGTTGAACCCAGGAGGCAGAGGTTGCAGTGAGTGGAGATCAAGCCACTGTACTCCAACCTGGGCAACTGAATGAGACTCTGTCTCAAAAAAAAAAAAAGAAAAAGAATTCTTTTAAAATAGGATTGAAAAATACAAAAAATAAAGAATCTACTATTTAAAAACTGATTTTAAAAGGCTCACCTACCCAAATGTCGTATGTGCTACCTTCTAACACATAAAATGAATTAGGTGCTGAGGCCGATCTCAAACACTGGCTATCACTTGTCAGCCCTGATGCTAAACATCTGCGTCTATCACAACTGGTGGTTGTTTTCCTTGATTAGCTAAATGTTATACATTTAAATATCTAAATTTATACTGATAAAAAAAACCACTTGTATCTGATTTCTATGTGGGAGTTCCATGCCAGATGTGATTGGAGAGAAGGGCTCCTTGACAGCCACCATGTCTGAGACCACCATCTGAACTCAGTGCTCAAACCGGCTCCCAGCTTCACATCCTGTCTCTCATGTAACAGGTGTTTTTTTTTTATTTTTTGTTTAGAAATTGGGTCTGGCTCTGTCGCCCAGGCTACTATGACACAATCATGGCTCACTGCTGCCTCAACCTCCAGCACCCAAGTGATCCTCCTGCCTCAGCCTCCCAAACTGCTAGGATTACAGACATGAGCCTCTGTGCCTATCCTGAACACATCCTTCTAAATAGTGGTAATGTGCCCACCTGCCCAGGTACAAACCCCCAGCCCATGGCCTCTTCCCTCACTGGGACTCCAGCCACATAAGCAAGCACCTGCTCTGTGGAGGCCAGTCTGTGCACCCAAGAGTCTTCCTACCGGGGGCGCCCTTTTCCAAACCCCACTGACCTTTGCTCCGCCCACCAGCCTCCCAGGCATCGCTTGAGGTCCACCTGCTCTGGGGCCTTGCCAGCTTTCCCAGCCTGCCCTCGCACCCTCTCCAGCCCTCCCAGGACTGCAGCGCGCCAGGCAGTGTGCCCGTGGGGGGTGGTGGCCTCCTCTCGGACCTGTACCCCTTGCCCCCGGTTCAGCACCTGGCACATCAGAGGAGGCGGGATGGCATTATTGGGGTGACTCTCGCCTGCCTCGCCTGCTCTGCTCCCAGGGATCCCAACTGACCAACTACGAGCTTCTCCCAGGGCCATGGTCAGGCACATGTTTGGCAGCCCTTCCTCAGGAAACCGGCTCCGGGCAAGGAGTCCCCTCCCCCAGCGCCCAGTGGAGCTTCCCCTTCCTGAGGACGGCTAAAAATACCCCAGACAGGAATTTAGCCTCCTTGAAATGGACACCAAAGATTAAACTATTAAGCTTCGAGTGAGGCTCTCATGGAAGGGATCAGATGAAAGGAAACCTCAGCCTGGGGGTCAGGGTGCATCTGGAATAGGCTGGGGTACTAAACCTGTTTCCAAACCATGCCCCAGCCCAGTGTCCAGCTGCTGGGAAATGCAGTCAGCGAGGACCTCGAGTCCCAGCTCAGTCACCGGCAAGTGACTAAGCAAAGTCACACCAAGCGGCTCAGTTTCCCCATCTGAGAAACCGGGATGAAAACATTTACCCTGGAAGGGTTGAGAGCCCACGGTCCTGACACAGGTGAAGCAGCTTGGTTCATTATAAGGACCTAACCAACTGTTAAGAATCACTATTGGCTGGGTGTGGTGGCTCATGCACTTTGGGAGGCCAAGGAGGGCGGATTACTTGAGGTCAGGAGTTCGAGACCAGACTGACCAATATGGTGAAACGCTGTTTCTACTAAAAATACAAAAATTAGCCGGGTGTGGTGGCAGGCGCCTGTAATCCCAGCTGCTTGGGAGGCTGAGACAGGAGAATCACTTGAACCCGGGAGGCGGAGGTTGCAGTGAGCCGAGATTGTGCCATTGCATTCCAGTGTGGGTGTTGCAGTGGGACTCCGTCTCAAAAAAAACAAAAACAAAAAACAAAAAGAGGAACCACTATTATCTGCCCAGATCTCTGGGGGAAGCCTTTTCTGAAAAAAGCCACAGAGCCAAGAGATGTTTCCATTCTTGGGCCCCAAATTCAGCAAATCTTAAGTGATTGTGAGGACAACTGTGAGAGACAGAACTCATTTGTTCATTTGTACAACAAATAGCTGCTCAGTCCCTGCTGTCCGCCAGGGCTTGTGCTTGGAGACAGCAAGCGGAATGGGGCAGGGGCCCTGCCCCCTCGGGGCCCACCACAGCCACCCCCAGTGCCCTCCAGCTGCTGTCAGGTTCGGGGAGCACACTGGGGAGCGTGGCTGCCTCCTGTCACCACCGTCTGTCTGACGCAGCACCCAGCAGCGTTGTGGGGTTTGGGTAAATGATGTGTTCAGCAGTTTTTGCAAACTTCCCCAAAGGCAGGACCAGAGAAAAGGAGGAACTGAGCGTGGATGGTGAAGCCAGTGCTTCCCCCTGGGCCCCGGATGCTGAGTTCAATCCAGGCTCTGCCGTCTACTAGCCGTGTGACCTCAGGTGATTCTCATCTCTATGGGGGCTCCTGACTCACGGGACAGAGATGAGGATGTCCCTGTAGTTAGTTTCCTCCCCTCTCCTTTCCCCTGCAGCCCAACACCAGGCATCAGCCTCTCCTCCCATCCTCAAGGGCGTGGGCACAAGGAAACAGTTAACGCTGCCTTAGAGGAGAGGGCAAAAACATCAGCCCGTGGGAGCTCAAGTGTGGGTCCCCGCAGTGAGGATGAACATGCAGCTGACCGTCCACACTGGCCCCCTTCTACCAGGGGCCACTCCTTACAGTCACACCAGGACACCAGAGGCAAACCCCTCCCACAGGAACAGGTAGTTTGGACTTGAGAAGGTGCGTCAGTGTCAGGAGCCTGGGCTTGGCTGTGGAAAGGGGCTAGCACAGAGTCCGTCCTCTTGAGGGTTTGTGCCGAAGTGGGGGCAGGGTAGGGGCACAGAGAGGTGCCAGCGACTGACCACGGACTCCGCGGAAGAGATACAGCTTCTCATTACAGAGACTGGCCAGGTCCCCGGCGGGCCACTGAATACCAGAAACACCCTGGGGCAGGGGTGGGTAGTGTGCTCCCCACCTCATGCCCCTCATTGATGGAGGGAGAGCCGGGTCTGCAGCCAGGTCTGTCTGCTCCCGCATGTGGAGGTCACATCTGAGCCCGGCCTCCTCAGCTCTCAGGAGCTGTCCTGGGTCACCAGGGGCCAGCAGGGGGACATTGGCAAGGCCTGGACAAACTGCTTCCTGGCTGGCTGGTGCAGAGCCCCCGCCAGCTGGGGGAACCGGGGTCTTTCCATCTATTGGGAGTCTTCATTGAGCCACTGCCCACCTGGGCAGTGGGGCCCCTGCTTTCTTCCTGGACACTTGGCTGGGTAGAACACACACCACCCTGTAAGAGCTCACTCCGTGGGGCTCAAGGGGCCAGGCCCTGCGTCTATGCTGCGCTGTTCACTGAGGCTGCCAGGCAGGCTCTGTGCGTGTGCACGCCTGCATGTATGTGGAAGGGGCTCAGCTGAGCAGGGAATGTAATTCACCTGCGTTTCGCATGTGTGTTTTGCCTGCCTATCACACACGGAAATGAGGAGTGGGGAGACCGACGTCGCTCTGCTCTTCCTCCTTCTGGGCTGGTGTCTCCTCACCTGCTCTGTTTCCACCTCCCAGGCTAAGCCTTTGTGTTTATGTCCTGGCACGGGCTGTCCAGGGCAGGAAGAGAGCTTGCCAGGTGTGTGTCACCTGTGTGCCAGGGCTGCCCCCACCCACCCCAGGCCCCTCTGTCATCCGCCCGGGGCCCTACGGTGGCCCTCCCTTCTCAGAGCAGGGCCTCTCGCACAGCTTGTGCTGAGGACTCAGAACAAAAGCTCCCCCCACGTCCAGGAGAAAGGGAGTTCAGACTGCCCCAGAGGGGCGCCCACCAGCTGGGATGTGGCAGGGCCTCCTCAGGGTGCCCTCGGTCCCCAGGGTGGGGAGAAAGTCAGTGTGAAAAGCAGGGAAATGGAGACATAGAGGAGCTGCCTGATTGTAGCTGTGCTGGGAGTGGGGGAAGGGAGGCCATATCGGGGAGAGAGAGAAAGAAAGGGAGAGGGAGAGAAAAGAAATGAAGAGACAGGGAAGGCGGGAGGAGGAGCCTGAGTGAGGGGAGGGAGAGAGAATGAAGCTATAGAGAGAAACAAAGGCGGGGGGGGGGGGAGGGGCGTGCAGTGACACAAGGCCCAGGGCTGCCCTATTTCCCAGAGCTGGGCACCTCCACCTCCCAGGCCTCAGGGCCCAGCCTGCCCCTGGGGAGGGAACAAAGGCTCATGGTCTGAGGCCAGGCAGGGGACCTTCCCCACCCCAGCAGGGACGAGGCTCCTCAGAGCTCTGGAATCTCTCACTGTCATCTCTGGCTTTGCCCCACAAACCCTGTGAAGTCTGGGTGGCAAGTCACCTGGCTCCTCCATGTCTCTGTTTCCCCATCTGTAAAATGGGCACAAGAATCTACCTGGACTGTGGAGGCCTGTGAAC